ACAAGAAGAAGAGGAGAGCAGAAGATGACGACATCCCAATTGATGCAGTTGTAAGAATTTAGCAATCGTAGATTTCATTTGTTTTTTAATTAATTAATCATTTTAATAATACTCTATCTGTCCATTGCATATGTGATGCCACAGGATATTGATGAAGACGTCGAGCAGCCAAATGAGGTAGTTGAGCAAATGGAATGGCCTCAGCAAGTTATCTACTGGGAGAGCATCGCGACAATGAACCAAGCATTACGTCGCGAGAACGAGAATAAATTCAAGGGTATGATTGCTGCAGACCGTGTAAAGATAAGTGCTCTTTCCGTGAATGTGGCTAAGCTGTCTGCTCAAAATAGAAGACTGAGAGAGGAACTAAGCGAAGCATGATCCAGAACCCTCTCTGTATATAGGGATAAGAGCCCTACAGGATTGGTGTCCGGCTCATTGATGAAGCCGCAAACTTGTACAGGTTAGATGTGGCTTGCAATTACGTTTGTGTGTTATGTTTAAAGATTGATTGATAAGTATATGGATTGTTTGTTAAGGTTAGGAATTTATTGTTAACTTTACGGATCTAATGTTAGGGTTAGGGATTTATTGCCAAGGTTAGAGATTGATTGTTAAGTATCTGGGTTAGTTGTTAGGGTTATGTAACTGATGCTATGTTTTTTTGACAAAGAAGTACCTAAGCTCATTTGTTTATTTTTTGAATCAGACACTCCAGGTACCGTCCATAATCCTTGTAAGAACCATTTCTAGTTAACCTCATTCTCTTGGTCACATACACAATAAGAAAGGAGAAATATTCCCTGGTTGCCGTCATACCCAGTAGCACTAAGTAGTATACCTCTGTAACGATCTTTAATAAATATTCCATTCAAGAACAATAGAGGCCTACACCCAGCAATGAACTCTTCAATACAGGCATTATAACTAATGAACAATCGCCTGAACCTCCCGTCATCAGCATCAATAACAACACGACTCCCTGGATTAGTTGCATGCACCATGGATTCATACCTGCATGAATATAACAACAAAGCAGTACATTTAGCAAATAATTCATAACCATAACAAATGATCTTCAAACTTCACGACCAACACGTATACTTAACGACGAACCAATAACTTTAACAACTAATACGTATAGTTAGCAATCAAAACGTAAGCAGTAGATTTAGCAAAGGATTCATAATCATAACAACTGATCTTCAAACTTCACAACCAACACGTATACTTAACGACGAACCAATAACTTTAATAGCTAATACGTATAGTTAGCAACGAAAACATAAGCAGTAGATTTAGCAACAGATTTATAACCATAACAACTGATCTTCAAACTTCACAACCAACCCGTATACTTAAAGTCGAACCAACAACTTTAACTACTACTACGTATAGTTAGCAATCAAAACGTAAGAGTGATTTCAGAAGAATAAAAAAGATAAGGACCATCTCAGTGAATCGTAAGCCTCATCATCGTCACCGAACAGGTCCTGTTGAGCTGTCTCCTTGCTCCACCACGCTTTACTGTAGTTAATCTTGATGCCAAAATTAGAGAGCATGTCGTTCTTGATATCGACTGCACGAAGATCTGGCCTAACCTTCAAAATAGCTTGTATTTGGCTAGCAATGAACTTCCTTGATGCCCTTGAGTTGCCAGCATTTGCTCCATGTTGACCGCAGGTGTGGGTAGACTCGAAATTCTTTATGGACAAGATAGACGAATATCTAAGCGGGGAAGCAAATAACATCCAAGGGCAACCATGTGTGTGCTTGAATCGGCAATAGACTCTTATGCGTCTTTGTTCATTGTGGTAAAAATCATACTCGAACCATTTAGCAATTGAATAGTATTGAAGTGCTAATCTAACTTCAGCAGCACTATTAAATTTCTGACCAACTTCACGTATGGAGGTGTGCCACTCAGTTGGGCTCTTTGTTTGGTGATTAAGCATGTCTTCCAACAGCATGATCGAGTCGCCGGTGGGGTTGTCATTAGGAATACGCTCATCATTACAGGATTGGGTGAACGTGGTATCTGTGCACCGCGAATTTTCTGTCGGTATTGTCCTGAAGTAGTAATAAAAATACATAGCCTTAGCAACGAACTGATAACATTAACAAAGAACTCATAAACGTAATAGCCAACACATATCCTTAACAACTAACCCTTATACTTAAGGAAAGACTCCTGATCTTAACAACAAACGCATATACTTAACATCAAACACCTTATCTTAGCAACCAACTAGTATACGTAACAACCAACAAATAACCTTAACAACCAGTCATTAACATAACCTTGACAACCAACTCATTACCTAAGCAACCAATGCATAAGGTTAACAACTAATGGCAAAACCTACCAGTGAACTCAAAAGGAAATCTGGAGTGTACTACGCAGTTTCCGGCGTAGTCTGCGTGTTCTGCGAAGTTTAGGATTCCCCAGCGGAGGTAGCATACAAATTCGCCGTCTGTAAATCCATTACGCCGACAATACTCGAACATCAAATTTAATTCATCGTCATTGTCAATTGAAATACTGAATTTCTTTTCCCTTTCGCATATGAACTTCAGTGAAAGAGATTGTATTGGTATTTTAAGCCTTTCCGCCACTTGATATTTCAAGCTGATTATTTCTGTATTCTCTTTGATAACGACGCATACACCGTCACCACCTTTGTTGCTTTTTGCCTTCGTTACCACGCATAGAAGAGATCCATCCGCCATTTTATTACAGGGAGTGGTTGAAGAATCGAAGAGGCAGGCTGCGAAGGGTATTTTGGGCATTTTGTGAGGGGTTTAAACGGAGTTACGCCTAGGGATTCGTTTTGGGGGCTGGAAGAAAATCGCGGGCGATTTTGGGGGCAAAGCACCCGTTGAAAAAGTCTTGGGGGGGGAAGCACGTTTTGTTGTGTTTTGGGGGCTGGAAGCATTTTTCTCTTTTTTATATATTAGTATCTAGATATAGATTATGTCACACACAAAGTCCACGTGGAATATTGCACTTTAAGAAGATTTCCGCTTGCAGGCAAATCCTTAGGGCCCGTTTGGTTGCTGAAAAGAGGAGTTGAAATGGGTAGAAAACCTGGAAGAAGCCTGCCAAAACTGACAAAAACTGTCAGTTTTGGCAGGCTTTCTTGCAAAAACGCCCTAAAAATAGCGTTTTTGCAAAACTGACAGTTTTTGTCAGTTTTGACAGGCTTTCCCAAACCCTCTTCAGCAACCAAACGGGCCCTTAGAAATTAGATTAGAAACTTAAAAGCCAATCTTCTTCCCCTTATTTTTTTCCCAGTCTTTTTTAACTACTAACTTACTAAGGACCAATCTTCTTTGCTTTCTTTTTCCTATCCTGTCTTTTTAACAACTAAGGACCAATCTTCTTCGCTTTCTTTTTCCTGTCGTTTTAACTACTAAGGAAATTTTCCTATACTATAAGAGTTCACTATTTTTACTACTAAGGAAATTTTCCTATACTATAAGAGTTCACTATTTTTGTACTCCTAGACACTAAAAAGTGAGATCCATTCCGACTCATAATTTTCTTTCGCAATTTATTAAAAACAGTCTCACTTTTTTTGTAAGAGTACAGGAGTATTATACCTCTTATGCATAGTTATTACTACTCAGCTCCCAAGGAGTACAACGTAAACGATGCACAATGGTCATACGTACTCCAAGATCAACATGTTGGTAAACGAACACAGTTTCCATAAACAAGTCTTGTAATTTGCAAAAATTTGGTAAAATGACACTTTCTGTAGAAAGAATTCCTGTAATTTGCAAGATATGCAGGCCGTAAACTTTGAAGCATCCTTCAAGAAACCAAAAAAAGTAAAAAACGAACAAGTGAGTCTTCTGACAGATTCTGTATCACATGAACATTAATGATCTAACTTCTGAAACTATAACTTTGTTTCAAATATATGAACAAATATTACAACTCTGACTAACACAATCATTAACATACACAGAATTTTCTTCATTTATCTTGCACACTCCAAAATTTCCACCTCCAGCCTAGCAAAAGAACTAGTAAGATAGCATGTGGAACGTCGCATGCTAAGAATAGCAAATAATGCCTATCTGAGATGCTGCAAATTGCATATATTCATAATACTGGGCGACAAACTAGAGCTCCGTGACTACTTACAAAAGCAAGTGTATTTGCTGGTCTACTAAAATCAAATTCAAAGGTCTTCAATATCAGTCAGAAGACTTGCACCACCCACGGATCTCTGTTGTGAGAGAGAAACTACCAACTGACCACAAGCACCACTTATATCGTCGCCCATCTGCTTACGAACTGTAGTTCGGATATTATAAAGACCCCTAAGGACTTTCTGAAATTTGGTCACGTTCTGTTTTGTGCTAGTTTGGAAAGAACTTGAAGCAATGGGATTGAAGGGTATCAAGTTCACAACCTGTCTCCACCAAGAAATATCACATAAAGGTATCAGCATATATAAGGGTTCTATCAAAAAAAAAGGAAAAAGAAAAAAAAAAGAAAAAGAAAAGAAGAGGACATCAGGTCAGATATTACAAACATAAAAACGTACACTGTGAACAAATGACATATGTTTATTTTCCATGATGTGTTGACACACAAATTTGCATTTGAAGAATGCTAGTAAACTAGAAGAAAATTGTAATTAAAAAAACTTGAATGATAATTCAATCCCCACAGTGACATGAAGCAACACTCAGAGACCCTGCTAAGAGGCACACATAAAGAAGCAAGTCTCGTAAAATAAGCCTTGATTTTGGACTCAAAAATCACAATTTAGGTTGACATTTTAAACTAAGTCGATATTTAAATGTAAAAGTTCGAATGAGTCACAAATACTAAATCTTATGTTGCATATTCAATACTACATCTGGGCAGATTATATGCAACATAAAGTTGACAATGATCTTACATTCTTTCCAAATACTGATCCTCTCTCAAATAACTGGCTGTGTGTTTGATCATGTGTTGCTACTGCTACTTTTGCAGATAGAGGATAAGACTAAGAGAAAAAAAGAAAATTTAACTTCAAATATACTAAAATTGAGAATAAAGGAAATCAAATGGTTGACTTCAAAAGATGCTGAAATTGAACATATTGCCATCAACCAGTTCAACCTGGTCCCATGTGTCCAGAAGCTCACATACAAAATACCAATCTATGGTTAGACTAAGCTTCGCTAGGAGGGTACAAGATAGAGACATGACGATTTCTGTGGCTGTTTTAGGCAATTAAGCCTAAATCTTCTCAGAAGACCAAAAGTCATGTGGTAGGTAAGCATAATCACTATATTATTCCTTATTCTAAACTACAAGGCTAGAGAAGACTAAACTTTATGTTTAAATGATAGTATTAAATCAGACAATAGACGATATGTATGTCACAGTTCAGTGTCAGTCTTTGGTACACAATGATCACTGCGTTATAAAAGGCAGATAGGTAAAAAGCATCGAAAATCATCACCTAACTTCACAAAGCTGGTATAGGTAAAATCAAATTGACAGCTCATCTCATGAATGGAACACTAAACTTTATATCTAAATGATAGTGTTAAAGCAGATTCATATAATAGACAAGTATGGATATGTATGTCACAATTTAGTCTCTGTTACACAATGACCACTGTGTTATACAACACAGCATATGTAAGAAGCATAAAACCATCACTCCATCAGTTGAATTCACGAAGCAGATATAGGTAAAACTAGACTAACAGCTCATCTCATGAATAGAACAACAGGGGGCAATAAAAAAGAAATAAATAATTGCGCGACCATAAAGTGGATTTTATCACCTATGTAAAATGCACCGAAGTAAAAATGAATTCTACTGCATAACGCACCTAGGAGATTGCTGACAACTCATAAAAAGTTTACTCAGTAATTAAGAACGGACATTGAGAGGTGCCAATAACAAAGAGTTTTTCCAATGGTAATATATACCATGATTAGTCAACCCAGCATGATTCAGCAATTTAAGAAATAAGAAATGAACAGGACCTTTGCATACAAAAGATGCCTTGGTTTCCTATTATCACAACGAGAAGTTAAACATTCATCTATCAAATGATTAAAATTGAACAATGACAGTTTGGCACCTTAACAACAGAGTTGCTCCATGAGTAACATCTGCAAAGATTAGCCTAGGCAGCATGTTTCAGTAATTTAACAATAAGAGATTATCAGGATCTTTCCACACAAAAGATGTGCTGATTTGCTATTACCTAACAATCTCCTGATGTGTACCAACTACCAAGCAATGGGGAGCAACGCAAGGAATTCGATCTGGAGGCAAGAAATTGGCAACGGCTTGGCAGAATAGCGTTGTAATCCATCACGAACAACAAGAAAGTTACCGAGTTGAATAAAGCACAGGGTCACTGTCCACCCAGTTGAATAATGCACAGGGGTCCCTGTTCACCCATTAACAGTACTGTTCTTCGTGAACAGTAATGCTCCGTCTTTTGGAGTTTTAGGTTTTCTTTTGATATTTTTGAATGACAGTGATCTTTTGTTGAGAGGATAAATGGCTAAAATGTTTTGAGGAGTGAATTTTGGTTGAAAGATATTGTAATTGGAGGGCTAAGATAAAAGAAGGGCCTCACACCCGGACACTTACATGTCATAATTTTAACACTTCACATGCTAACAAAGACTTTACATCTCAAGAAATTTTTTTCATTAATCATAATTTATTTCCTCATGGAGGATTATAATTTTATTTATAGAGAAAAACTAAATATGGAAAGTAAATTAAACTCTAACCAAATCCTAATAAAAAGGAAGCAAAGATAAAATCCCTAACAAAGTAAATCTCAAAGATCCTAACAATCCGAAATCTAAGCCTAAGAAGATATTTACCTAAAATTGGAGATTACCCCCAATATTACTAAAATAACAAAGATACCGGTAAATCTATAAAATTCAAAGATACCAATAAATCTATAAAATTCCTGATCAACAGCTCATGATCATCCTGCATCACCAAGCCTTATATTTTTGACTCCCAATGCAATCCAAAAGCAGAAACGAAGTTAAGATGTTTAGCACTAACGAATGGGCAGTTAATAGTTCTCTTGTTTGGTAAAGACTCCACTTAATCTTCCCGTGTCTTTGTTTCTTGGCAGTACATCCCTTTATATTGCTTCCAAAAGCAATTTCACATAAGGGGAATAACAGAAAATGCCATCTAATTTGTAGAAGAATACATTCTTAGAGGAAGAAGCTGACTTAAATTATTTATTATGAAAAGAGTTAGTTATTGTAATTGAATTAAGCAGAAATCAATTACTAAACCCACCACTTTGAACGTCTCTAGTAGCTTGCCGAGCTGGTGTGCATGCTCCTCCTGATCATTCACCCCATCAAGCATGATGTACTCAACAAAAATTTTCTGCTGACTGAATTTAAGCATATATTATAAGATTCTTCATCTTTAAATTTCACAGGAAAAAAAACATTTGAGAATCAGTTTAGATGTCTTTCTCGCTCTCACCTGTCGTTCTGATAGAGTTTCAATGCATCCATGAGTTTTACAAGAGGAAAAGCTCGTGCTGCAGGCATTATTTGACAACGGATTTCTTGATCTGGTGCGTGCAATGATATAGCTAAATTCACATTTGGAAGGTCGTTATGGATCTTATTGATGGCATGAATGATCCCAACCTATAAAAATTACAAAGTCATAAAATTGTGTAAGTTCCCGAGGCAATGGTTGATGCGTTGCTAGAATATTGAAAACATCGCTCCACGACTACCACTCATACACCATTACAGAAGAGGAAGACAGTTACTCTCATCAGTCAGTTAAGATAACATGCCTACTTGTATATCCTAATTCTTTTATAGAACTTTTGAGGTCTGTCAACTTCAGCTTATTGAATAATTCAGCGACCATGCACAAAAGACAGTTTTTTCCCCCTTTTTGATCCTAAGTGTCCCAACGAACAAAAAAGAATTGACAATCG